TTTGGATTGAAGGGCTCATTTGACACTACTCTACAAGTTCAAGGGTTAATATGCATGATTCGCCCTCCCTCACCAAACTTGCTCAGTGGCCTGCCAGCCGGCTCTCGGCCACGTTATCCACCATCGCCGCTTAGGTTTCTCCGGTTCTAGACAGTGTAGACTGAAGCAAAAATGGAGCACAGCAAGAAGAAGCTCATCATTCTACTCTCAATAGCATCCGTCGCAGCTCTCTCAATCATCTTCCGAAGACGCCGTCAGAAGAAGAACCGCCGCGCCGCTCGCTGTTACTTACACACCGATCCTAAACCTCAGTACACTTTCAAGCGCGTCTTAGCTGATAATTCCTACTCTCCTTTCAACCACCTGAACCTTGACGGTCTTGAAGAGAAATCGCAACCATATGAAGCTGATATCATGGCATTAGTCGATAATCCGCCGGTTGAGTTTAAGTTTTTGGAAGGCGTCGATGTAGACTTGGAAATGAGTGATTCTTATGTTTGGGTTGATACCGAGTTGCAGTTGACTCAACTAGCTGATGCTTTGAGCAAAGAGAAGGTTTTTGCTGTTATCCTTTCTAGGTTTTACTGCTTTAATACAGGTTATTGTGTACTGATGTTAACTATTGAGATGGAAATCTTTCATGTTTCTGTTTTGGTTGGAATAGCAGACTTCTAGTAAAAAGGATGATTATTTGGTGGATACAATTGCATTACATGATTCAATGAGTATTCTTCATCCAGTATTTGCTGATCCTAATATTTGCAAGGTGCCATTCAAAATGTTTGTTTGTTTGAATTTTTTTTCTTTTTCTGGTCTCACGTAAATCTATAGCTGTTGTTGTCATTTTCATTTTTGAGTTGGTTTTTCTTTTTTTCTGTTTTGTTGCAAAGAATAGAGTAAGAGCAGCATGTTTGTTGCAGTATCTCTAGTTTACTTCAAAAGAGTGATTCTTTCCTTGTTCTCTCAAGCCTGTTTTTTCTGTGATTGTGTAGGTGTTCCATGGGGCTGATGATGATGTTGTTTGGTTGCAAAGAGACTTCCACTTGTAAGTTGTTAACCTCTTTGACACTGCAAAGGTGAGGTTTAAATGTTAACTAGCCATGTAACCTGATATTTCCACTGCTCTAATTCTCTTTCTGATTGACTGATATCATTTTGTTTATTTCATGAAGTTGTGGCTTCTAGAATCTTGATAGTAGCTTGTATATTTCTGTTTCTGTTATGAATTTTTAATTTTAAAAGGGATTGAAATGTAAAATGAAACGTGAAACTATAGCATTACTTACACATATGCCTAACAAAAATCAATAATAAAATGAAAGATTCGGAATAAAAACATGATGAAGTAGGAGATAAAGGAAGAAGGGTTTCTAATGGGAACTAAAGTAAAGAGATATGATGAACAAAATAGTGGTGTTAAAAATGTAAGAAAAAGGTAAAATTGAATAAGGAAAAAGGGTCATCGTTAACACACACGTAGACGTAGGAACATATTCACTAATGCAACCTAGATTCATCATTGTAGTTCAAAGACTATACATTCCATGTCTGCGACTGTGATGATAATGTGCATGGATAATTTTCTATGGCTGTATGTCTAGATACTAGATACATTCCTTCAAAAATTTACCTTTCTCTTATTATTCTGCAGGGGTGTGAGGTTTTATCAAACCCACAGAAATCACTGGCTTACTTGAGACATACTGCAGTGTAGAGAAAAACAAATCGCTACAGGTACAGGTCTTGCGAGGTTTCTTCCATGTAGCTTATTTGGCACTTAAGCATTCCTTATCTATCAATTTATGACCTTTCTTTCCGACTTATTTTCTCATACATTGCTTTGCATCACAGCGTGAAGACTGGAGACACCGCCCTCTGCCTGTGGACATGGTGCAGTATGCTCGAGCAGATGCACATTATCTATTATATATTGCAAATTGTTTAATTGCTGAGATGAAAGAACTGGACATTGGTATGCCTTTTACTTTGTCCTTACATTTAAATTATTATTATTATTTTGATCAGCCAAAGATAAAAGATTTTATTAATATGGAGTACAAGAGGTACTCCTACCCTAAACAAGTCTAAAAATAACATCCAAAGAATACATCAGTTATCAAACAAACACAACAGTGAAATGAAAAATAAAACTCACCATTTCTTCCAAGCTCACAACACAGGCCCACCCATGTCCATATTACCTCACATGAGAAAGCTTCAAATTCTTTTGGTTTGTTTGAGAGTCCTTACATTTAAAATTATACACAATATGTCATTTCTGAAGAGATAAAGTAAAGAGATAGAGTTTTTATTGTAATGGTGATAAGGAATCTTATTTGAAGGCTAGGGGTTTGAAGAAATAGATAGTAAAAGAAGAGAGTTAAGGTTGCAAATGGGCATGTGACATTTGCCGTGGTTCCCATATTCAATCAATATTTTAAATTGGTTATTATAGGCGACCTATACTTACTGCTTTGAGTTAGGTTCCACTTATGCACAACTCTTGCATGTGTCATTTACCATTTATCTCTTTCATTATAAGTTGTTGAGATTTATCAACTTTTTATTCTATTTTTTAAAGATAATTTTTTTTTCTCATCTTAAAAGTTGTGATAAATTTCAATCATTTATGATAGAGAAATGAATGGTCAAGAGTTTATATGTGGTGTCTTGTTGTGTGTAAGTGGAAACTAACTCTGCTACTTTTAGTATCGAAATGCTAAATATATTGATCTATCAGAATATTCATCTTGCCACGATGACAAGTTCCATTTTGTTCTCGAGGCTGGCCGACGTTCAAACATGATCTGTCTGCAACTCTATACAAAAGATATTGAAGATTCTCCTGGGGAGTCTGCAGCATCATCAATACTTTCTCGCCAGTTGAACAGTCAAGGAGGTGGTCAAATATCAAATGAAACCAAGGTCTGTTGCCCATATGACTGTAACATGTTACTATTTGGAAAGATTAAGTGATATTCTGAATGTTTATTTCTTCATTCTAGTCTCAGGATAGTGTAAGACAATTGTGTGCATGGAGAGACTTAATGGTAAGTGGCTTAGTCATAGCCTTAAGCGAGCTAATGATTTTAGTATGTATAACGGAAAAATGATTTAACGGACAATTCTTTTGTATTATCTTTTTTGTCATTAAAATAAATTTTTTTATTTATTTAGAACTCATAATATTAAATATATTTATTCATTTAATAACATAAAAAATTATATAAAAAAAATGATACAAAAAAATTATATTTATATCATCACCCTTTATAATAAGCTGAAATCTCGCTTTGCATTGTTATTTTTTAATATAAATTTCACCTTTTTCTTATAAAAAAATATAATATTTACAAAGGCTTACTATCGTTAAAAATCATTGAACTTTATTATAGAAGTCATTGTCATCCCTCCACAGAAAAAAAATTCATAATAATCCCTGAACTTTTGTGAAGAGGACATTGTGGTCCCTCCCTTAACATCCGTTAATGAAAGTGCTAATATGGCATTAACGGTCTTAAGAAAATGCTAAAATGGCATTAACACCTCATAAAAAAACATGGCATTAACACGGTTATATTGTATTGGAAATACATTTTCTACCTTTATATATGGTAAAGATTAAAGGGTAAAATTGTAAAATGATATTTTAAGAATTACTTAAATTTATTAATCATAAATTTTAATCTATTAAACTACTAATTAATAAAGGTTATAACATTAGTTTACTCCTAATAAATTAATTAAGATTAATAAATTAAATTAAAAACAAATGGTCAAACTAAACTTGAGAAGATGAAGCCTCTAGTGAGAATTCAAAGGGAAACAATAAATAAATAAATAAAAATTGCTACAAACTCAATCCTCTATAAATTCATAAAAAAAAAATAAAAAAAATAAAAAAAAATAAAAAAAAAATAAAAAAAAATAAAAAAGAAAGAAGGAACTCATCAGTGCTGCAATTTGTCAATTTTTCCATCAAGAACCCAGATCTTTGCCTTCTCCCTTTGATCCACATACCCAGATCTTAAATCCAACATCATTCTTCATTGGTTTCAATACCAAAAAAACTTAAAACTTCATGCTTCAAATGAGAATGTGGAGAACAAATCAAACTGGATTGAACAAAATACATATGGAATCAGCTGAATCTGAAACTAGAGAAATAATCCATTTTATATCTTTGAAGACAAAAAATCAAAAATAAAATAATTTTTGTTTTGTAATTTAATGCAGTTTAAATTATAAAATTAGAAAGTAAAATGATTATGAGATCATTTTTATTGTACAATTGTTTTATATGATCTTATTTATTATTTAATGATTAATTTTTTTTACTATACTGATACTCATGATATTATATATATTTATTTAATAAATATGTGAAACTTATAAATAAAAATTGGAATTTTTTTTTTTGAATTGTGCTAAGGAATACACCTTTTCACCACTAATTCATATTGAAAAACAAAAGAAGATGATATTAATTTTAGCATGGAGACCACATGTCTTAATTTAATTGATTAGATATTAAAATTAAATTCAAACTTTATTTTTTTATATAACTTAACAACCACACGATACATTAATTGCTTTCTTAGAACATAAGTAAGAAAAACCTATAAAAGTTATACAAATTAATTATTTGTATATTATTACCCACTGATTGATATTGTTTAATTAGTCAATTTATGTTTGTGGGTTCATAACTTAGCCAATGTTTAGGATGTTAGTTAAGGTTTAGATTTTTTAAGATTTAATATTTAGAGTGTTAGGGTTTAAATTTTTTGAATTTTATATAATTTTACGATATTAGGATTTAGATTTTTTTGAGTTATATATATATTATTATAATTGTAGGGTTTAGATTTTTTGATGTCTTAGAGTTTATATTTTCAAGGTTTAATTTTTAATATTTAAAAATTTAAGTATTTAATAATATAAAAATTAAAATTATCAGACCAAAAAGTGAAATTATAAATGAATTGCAATTCGACGAGAAGGAGAGGAGGTGGGTTCGGGTGATAGAAATGCTGGAACAGGAAGGTTGGTGAACGATGGAGAGGTGCATATAAAGGGGGAACTAATTATTGAATTTTCTCCATTAGAGGAGGAGATTCAATGGCTTGAAGGGAGTATGGTGGCTGTTGTGAAGTCTTTGGCATCCATAACAGCCATTCAGGAAAGAATGGACATGGATGGAGGGTTGATTAGTTTGTCACCACTAGAAGAAAGACAATTTCTATTAACTGAACATGTACACGGAGATTTATTGGATTATATGCAGCAAAATATGGAGCTGTTCGATCTGTGGTTTGAATCAATACAGCCATGGGCAGATGCATCTCAAACAAAAGGTAGAATGGTCTGGTTACGCATAATTGGGGCTCCTTTGAAGTGTTGGGAAGAACAAGGTGTGACCTGAGCACAGCAAAAACAAAAGTAACACCAAAATCTTCCCCCAATCTATTTGAAATTGTTAAGAGCAAACTAAATTGAGTCCAAATAAATTATGGCAGCAGCTAAAAATATGCAGAACAGTAAAAATAGCAAGGCAAAGCAACCACACAAGAGACACAATATTTTATGTGGAAAACCCTAAAAATGGGCAAAAATCATGGGACATTCAGTCCACAAAAATAGCTCCACTATGATAAAAGTGAGTACACAATATCCTCTTCTAAAAAGGGCACAAAAACGGCACAAAAATAGCACCAAATAAAAGGAACAATAGGTTACAAACCAATAAAGTAAAAGGGACCACAAGAAAATAAAACACCAAAATATGAGTTACTGTTCAACACACAAAAACTGAATCTACAGAGCTCCAAATGAAAAACTGACTGCTCAGATTATAGATAAAGTCTTGTGAACCTCCAAACCAAATTTCAGCTCAATCCAACGGTGAACTTCTGTGGATCAAACAAAGTTGCACAACTGCACATTGTATCAAATCTTCAGAATTCTCCCCTGCTTTCTTTTTCCTTTTCTGCTGGCTGGTCCCTAACGTGTTCTCCACTTTCTGCTATCCAAATCAGACTCCTTTCTTTGTCTTAAAGGGCTGCAAAATGTGACTTCAAGTGGGCTTAACAAGTGTGAGTTTAGTCTACAAATATTGACCATTTCTCCGCATAGGAGGGATAGGCCTAACCCAACATGAAGGCCTGGAGCGTTAGATGTTTTGAGAAGCTTGGTAGATCAATGGGCGAGGTGATACTGATTCACAAAGACGCAAAGAACAAAGTTATTTTGGGTTCGTTTGGTGCAGTTTTGAAGTGATTTAATTTTTTTATACTATTTATATTTTATAAATTTAAATTTTTTTATTAAAAATTTATATTTTTAAATTTTTTTAAAGCTTTAAAAAATCATAAATAATAAAAAATCAAAATTTTCAAATTTAAGTTTTTCATAAATTTCTTTTTTAGTTATTTTTTTTATTTTTAAAAATAATTTTTAAATTTTCTCTTTAATAAAAATATAAACTTATTATCCTTAAAAAAAAAAAACAAAAACTTCAACAAATTGCACCAAACAACTCTTTGTTTGAAAGAAAGAAGAGTATTGATCCTAAGCTCAGAAACTGGCAAGATATCAAAGTTCTTTACATTGAAGCTCAATGAGCAACAATAAGAGATTGGGGTGGTTAAGGAAGAATGGTGAACGGATGTTGGAAGGTGACCGGCGGAGTGAGAGGGGCTCTGAATCGGAATATTCCACAAGGCAAACCTGTGATATACAAATCACGAATGTGTTAATGCCGAGATTTGCGGTGAGGAATTTGAAAGCATTGAGGATATGCAGTCAAGGAAGGAAAGAAGGTTTTTTTTTTTTTTTAATGTAAACGAAACGGGTGAAAATGAGGGAGACAATAGCTTTAATTTGGAGTGCTGTGCAGGACAAACTTTCAGGTTAGTGATGAAAATGGGGCATATTTGGAATTTGGGCCGTTAGTGGAGCAGCAAGGTGGGCTGGAGGAGTGTGATGGGCTCATAGCAAACTCAACTGGGACGGTTGGGTGCAGTATGGGGAGAATAGGCCTGATGCTGAAAATGTAGGACAGCTAGATTCGACCCGAGAGATGGATAAAAGGGATTTGATGGGTAAACGGCACAAGAAATTGGAAGACTGTTACCCGAAGAAGCTAGTAGAAATCTGGGTGGAGCCGAGAGCGGGGGCAATGGGTGACAGCCAGAACGAAGCAACGGCAAGGAAAAAGAGAGATGGCTCAAAAGGATGCAAAGGAGAAGGTGAAGTGGGTTGGTCGTGCTTCTCTTTCAGATGGATGTAATGTGCACAGAAACCAGGTAATTCAAAAAGAACTGAATTTGCATGAGGTGAGGAAGATGATTAGAGTTGGGAAAAGGTTGGGTATTGAAATCCAAGGCAATGAAAAGGAGGTTGAGTCTAGATTGTTAGAGCTAGAAGATAGGGATGAGGAAAGGGGATGGAATATAAAAGGGAATTAGGGGTGTTCGATGATTAGGGTTGTGGATTTCTTTTTAAGAATGAAGTTTTTATCTCTTAATGTTAGGGGGCTGGGAGGACTATTGAAGAAGAAAGAAGTGGGGAAACTAGTAAAAGTAGAAAGGCTAGATTTCTTGTTCTTGCAGGAGACTATATTAGAGGAGGTTGATGGTGATTTATGTAGAATGTTGTGGAATTCGGAAGGGTGGTTTAGGGATGCCGGATTTGCGTAGGAGGAATTGGGCATTACTTGGGAAGTGGTGGGTTAGATTGGGTGATGGAGTGGAGAGTTTATGGAAACAAGTGGTATGGAAAAATATTATGGAGGTATGAAGGAGGTGGATATTACTGCACAAGAAAGTGTAAGAGTGTCTAAGATTTGGAGTGATATTATTAGAATAGGAAGGATGTCAGTGGGTTCAAGAAATATGGTGGTGAAGGGTTTTAGATGGGAGCTAGGAGATGGCAATCGAGTGGGGTTCTAGAGAGAGATATGGGTTAGAGATAGGTCGTGAAGGGATTTATGTCCTTGACCACATGAGTTGGCTGTCAATAAGGAGGGTCTGGTTAATGAGATGGGCGAATGGGAAAAAGATAGGTGGCGATGGAATATGGAGTGGAGAAAAAAAAGCTTAGGAAGAGTGAGGAATGAAGAAAAGGTCTTCCGAGAGATGCTTGGTCATGTACAATTAAAGAGAGGAAAGGAGGATCGCTGGTGGTGGGTACATGGCTCGGAAGGACGATATGTGGTGAAGAAAGCTTATGAGATTTTGGCTCCTATGAAGTGCCTTCTTGCGGATCAGTTTTGTAAGATGATTTGGCGTAGGTTAGTTCCTTCAAAAGTGGGTTTTTTTGGGTGGAGGTTGTGTCTTGATAGACTCCCAACAAAGGCAAACTTACAAAAAAGAGGTGTGGTGTTGCAAGGGCAAGCTAAATGTGTGGTTTGTGTAATGGGGTGATGGACGAGGCTAATCATCTATTTTGTACATGCAAGGAAGCTTGGTTAGTTTGGGTACAGGTGCTGCATTGGTGGGGTATTGAAGCTGTGTTATCAAATATAGTAGGAGTTGCAAAGTTTTTTCTGTATGGTTTGGGTAGGATAGTAGGGAAGGAAATGGAAGCGTGCGTTTTCCTTGTTGTTTCTTGGTATATTTGGTATTGTAGGAATATTAGAATCTTTAAGAATATTGAGACTTTTAGGGAAAGGGTGGTAAATATGGTGCAAGCCAAGACTTTTTTCT